AGTGACTGAACGTCCCCCTTGACCTAAGTTCTATAGCAGGTGCTTTCCACACCATCTATCTGGAATCACTCCTTCTGAGAACAGAGCCTGAGTCCCATTTGCTGTGCTTCTTCTCATGGCTATTACTGCTACATTTTAATTGTGCACTTTTGCCAGTTTTACTGCTGACATACATCACCACGTATTAGGGTAATCACTGACTCCATTTCCTGGTAGAATTAAAGATGGCGATACCATTCTTTATAATCCAAGACAATTTGCATGAAAGAAAAGATTGTTACTCAAAAGCTGAAAACTGACTTAATCTGAGTCAAGTTTTTGCAAAGTGTGTCAGGCAGTTATTTGGATTATTTAATCATTTCAACAATCCTCAGGTAGTTCCTGTCATTATCAATGGAGAGATCAAGAAACTGGGGACCACAGAGGTTTAAAAATTTGCTAAAATTTCAGAGCTAATGACAGTAGATCCCTGAATTCAAATTCAGATTGCTCTGATTCCTGAATCTTTGCCTATAGCCACCACCTTCCACACAGCCCTCCTAAAAATTAACTACAAACCCTCAAGGTCCATTGCAGAAGAACAATTATCTCAACTATCCTGAAGCATATGCTTACAGCTACCAAATAGTCTTTGTAGGAGAAAACCAAGCTGCTCCACTGGCCAAACATTGCATTAGTGAAATATAAAATCAAGTGTGTGCAGATGCCACAACTGAGCACCTCACCTGACAGCACATGGGTTTTCAGCTGTTTCCACTCTGTCAGCTTTACATACAGAACACAGTAAGTAAACTCCTTAAGGCTAGGTAATGTCTCATACCTCTCAGATAGACTCCCGAGCACAAACTTCAACTGATGGAATTGGCAAGGTTCAATTAGCAATGCAATTCCGAGCCACCACAATGTGTCATAGGAATGTGTTGAGAAAGATACAAGTTTTATTTTTCAACTCATATATTTTTCTTTTCATTGCAGTATAGTTTTGAGCGATAGCACTATCTTTTTCTTGTTACTTAAATCAAGATCAATACAGTACATTCTCCTTAAGAACAGTCTTCTCTAAATAAAACAATTTTGCTCCAGAATCTCTACAACCTTAAATCTATGTGTGTGAAGACTGCACACACACACACACACACACACACACACACACACACACACACACACACGATATAATAGCATCATTAAATTGAGTCAGCATGTTTCATCAGAGGACACATTAATACCATAAGTAGAAACCTGCGGCAGACTAAGCTGACTCAATTTTATGACTCTGCATGATTTAAATGACTAAATGATTATGATGTAATGATTGGCTTTATTTGTGATATATAGCAGCAATATCCCAGTAACTCATACTATGCATAAAAATTAATACTTAGAATTCATTACCAATAATTTGATAAAAGTCATTATCTCACAGTCTAGCCCAAATGCAAATCTAGTCCCTAGGTTTTTTTGAGATTTGATTGTTTTGATTAAAGATCTTCAATACTACTTGATACTCAAAAAGCAAGAAGGAAATTGACCATAACATACTAGTTTAATTTACTAAAGTTGTGCAGGGAAAAGAAAAGTTAGCTGAAAGTGGCTCATTAAATATCCATCTTGATACAATAGATTCCCAATTGTATCAAGGACAAATATTTAAATATTACTGTGTCTCTTGGGGAAAAAGCTATGAGGTGATACTTAAATGTATTTAACTGAAACTGTTGCAAAGGCAGATGCTGTGACAGTCTTATGTTTCTGTTGCAATCCTAGTGCAACCACGGTATTCATAAAAAATTTACTTGAAATTTAGGAAAACAAACACAAAGAAAAACCCAGATAACTCAAAAAAAGTTCCCAAGAGAAAATAATTACATCATCACACAAAGTCTTTAGAACATTATATTTCAAAAAAGACAATGATAAAAAAGTACAAACATTTCCATGAGAAGCAAAAATAACAAAGCAAAACAAAAAAAAGAGAATACAAGAAATTACTAGCATTTATTTCAGTGCATTTATGTAAAAGCCTTTCAGATCTTAATAAATAAACTAATCTTAAGTACACTTCCTCTTTGTGATAAACACCACTACGGCCATTTTGGTCCTCTCAATGGGCATATTTGCAAATACAAGGCAAAAAATCTAGAGTGCTAATATTTGTCTGAAAAAAATACGTAAAGAAATGTAACAGAGACGAGCAAAGGCCAAATAAAATGACACAAAATTTCTTTCTCTCAGAGGGAGCCTTCAAAAGAGGGGGAATATTGTACTGCATATTTGTTCATTTTGTTTTAAAATGGATATCAATCTCTTGACTGGGAAAGGAGTATAAGCAAGTTTTTAATATGTAACTTTGTACTTACATAATATTGTAAACAAGTTTTCTTACTGACCACCTTTTCACAAAATACAAACAGAAATTTAAATTTAGGTTTTAAAAAATATCCATTAAATCCTAGTTTTGGCAAACATTTAAATGACTGTCTCCACTATGAATTAGACACAATTAGAGGAAATGTGAACACTTTTCCTTTTTCTACAAACAGGCCTATTAATCATTACTACTTTCTCTAGTTGAAAGGCACTATATAACTTTCCCAGTAGTGCTATAGGGACCTCATAATAATAGCTCTGTGTCCATACATATATATATATATATATATATATATATATATATATATATATATATATATATATATATATATATATATCTTGACTTTGAGACTAAGAAATACAATGAATAAGTTATCAGAGGATATCTTCATAATTTTAGAAAGATTTCAACTTGCTTGACTTGATTTGTTTAGAAATGAAATGATACTTTTTCTGTAGAGATACCTAGCGTTGCCCGTGATAAAGTAGGCAAGAATATGTGTTTACTAACAAATCCACCAAACATAACTATAAAGAAAGTTTGCATTTGCAATGTATTTGTTAATTTTCATGGAATAGGTTTATTTTCATACAATAAAGATAATTGGGCAAAACTATCACTGTACTGAAACATATAAAAGTCATTATTTATAGGCAAAAATCAATTTTAGGTCTGCACTTAAAAAGCAAAACACAAACGAAAGACAAAAAGCAAACTAATAAGATGGTTTTCACAGGATGACGTATCATATTCAAAACTGAAAAAGCAAAATATTCATGGCCCATTCCTAAAACAAAAATTACTCTTAGACTTAATGCCAGAAAATAAGGCAGACTGTAGTAGAACTGAGTTCTCTTAAAATTGTCAAGTGTATATAATGAAAGGATTCTAAAATGTGGGCAGCTCCACACTTTAAAAAAAAAAGTTTTCCTAATAAAACCCAGAAACAGTCCTAATTTTCCCCACAACTAAAATATTTAATTATTTTTTTATTTTATGGATTAATTTTGTTTCTGTGCCCCTACTATCTTGTCAGTGAGCAACAAATGTTAACTTTCCCAATTTACTTTCTTTCATTTCATTGAATTAAAAAACTACATTGGTTATGAGAGACAGATGAAGATACACAAATTAAGAACAAATATCTTTTCAGAAGGTTTGATTTTTCATTATTTTCAGTACAAGCAAATAAATGAGACAAATATTTTGGAATTATTTCTAAAAAATAAATGTGAAAAAATTCTGTTTGGTATCATAACAGAGAGCTATCAATTTTCTCAAAGTACAAGAATTTCAATTATTTTGTGATTTGGGTTGTGGTCATCGGGTTACCAATATTGCCATAGAAAATAAGACTTCAAAATTAAACTTATAACCTGAGATAAATAGCCATACTTCTGCTTTAGGTGAACAATCCATGAGGCAAATGTTATCAAACATTTCTCAAATATAGATTTTTATTGTTTTTCACTGTTGTTGAAGATTCACTTTATACATATACAATTTTTTGTTTTAAATTTGTGAAAATATCTTGATATTCTAAAGAATCTTTGGTTAACAATAATTGATAATTTTCAAAGTAAAAATAATGCTTGGTTTTGTCATAAAAACTTCATCCAAATTCAAGATAAAGTAATATATTTGATGTCGGGTGGTAAGACCTGTTTTCTGAGAAGTATCGCAAAACATTAATGTACCGTATTTCCCCATGTATAAGACGCACCCTTTTCCGGAAAAATTTCAGGTCTAAAAACTGGGTGCGTCTTATACAGTGGTTGTAGATTTTCTTACTTGCATTTCCCGCTTTTTCACGCTTGTTGTCTTTGCGCTCATTGTTTCGCACTTGTTACGGGTATATTATGGTAGGTTACGTTTTGCCACGTTCTGCCCAGAAATGGCTCAGAAAAGATTTTTGTACATTCAAGTTAATTCAAGTTAAAAGTGATCAAGTTTGCAAAAGTGAATGGAAATTGTGCTGCTGAACATAAGTTTGGTTCTCCTCCAACTGAGAAAACAATCCGAGGCTGGCTACGGGAAGAAACCCTACTGAAAACGCCACAGCTGAAGAAGGCCATGAGAGGCAATATATGAAGACAGTGATTCGTCATCAGACACAGATGAGGACAAGCTAATGGTTGGGAGTTTTGACAGCGATGAGGAGTTGTATGAATTTTATGATGAATAAAACTTGAGTTCAATAACTTTATGTAATACATTTCTTTTCAAATTTGGGACCCCAAAATTAAGGTGCATCTTATACATGGGAGCATTATACATGGGGAAATACGGTATTTAAATAACTGATTATGTATTATAATGTAATTCTATTAAATTATGCTTTCAGTGAGGGAATTTTAATAATTAACACCAGAGATATAATTTCTTAAAAGTGAAAAAAATACATAGTTTGAATGAAATTGGCCAACATTAAAATGAATCTTTTCTAAGCCTGAAATTCTGAGTCTAAGAATTAAAATTAAAATCTGTTTTTATCTAAGCATTTATCTTCATAAAAATAGAACATTTAATTTCTTATAGTATAATTCATTTGTATATTATAAGTACTACTGGGTGTTCTATAACTCATTCTTTTTAAAAAAATCATTTTGATTTTCTTTAAATGAAAAACATGTTTTGGCTCTTCTGAACTGGAAATAATAAAAGTGCTGTTCACTATGAACTAAAAAACAAAACAAAACAAGCAAACAAAAAACAGTGTACAAACACACACAACCTGGGAACATTTTTTGAGGCACAAAATCCCTGACACACAAGAGGTACATGAAAGACATTTAACAAAAAGAGGTCCTTTATATCATGTCACATCACAACTTTTAAGATTTTCTTGGTAATACTCATGCAATATGCATAAACAATATGGTTGTGATTTAGCAAATCTGATGAGATTGCAAGCAAGGAAAAATACAGGTAATGCTGGTAGGAAGAAAAGCTATTTAAGCCCTTTCTTCTTACCCTTTAAAGACCATAAGAAAGCTGTGACTTCTTCCACACAGAAGGCTGAAGGTCTAAAGCTCAAAACTAGTATAACAGTTTACTGTATTAGTTGACTGTCAATTATTGACAGTTCTTTCATTTCACACAAGGGTTAACCTTTGTTTAGTAACATAAATTTACATTGTTTTTTCCCATGCAAATAAAAAAGTCTATAAAAGTCCAATAAAGGCATAACCAATTACATGCAAAACTGCAACACAGCTTAATTTTTCAACAATTTGAACCCATTAATTTACATCACATATGTACAAAATATGTTTAAACAGAAATAAAGCATTCTCTTGAATTAAATTATATATTTTCAGTATAAAAAATTTTTTCTTTGTAGGGTGCTCTCTTAACGTCCAGTCTTCAGCAATGGCATTTGGTTTCTGCAGTGCTCACCACAGGGGTGTGTCTCAGCGCGGAAGATGGGAGGAAGGGCTGACTGTACAATCCCACACTGTGAACACTGAGGATGCCGGCTCTTCTTACAGAACAGGGCACTAGGACACATCCATTCGCTGACCTCCATGAAGCATGCACTCCAAGTTTATGATCCAGCATTGTGGTCCTTCTTGCCAGGAGAGCGACTTGTTCTAATAGTCTTCAATTGGAGCTAAGTCTGGCATGAGGTTTACAGATATATTTGTATACAACCTATCAACCAGTATTTTTGGCATGTATATTAAGTTGTTCAGCCCATCGATGTACTGACGCTCTTTTGAATACCTTAGCAATTTATACCTATAGTGTTAGAGAAATAAAAAAGGAACAGAAATGTGCAAAAAGAAAAATTGTTGAGAAGTATGCTCAAGATCATTCTCATAAATTAAAGCATTTAAAGCTCTACAATTTTTGGCTCTCATACATAATTAAAAACCTTTCTAAACCATTGCTGTAAATCAGCATTTTTACATGTCTTAAAATGCCACCTGAAAAAATTATTCTGCACTCTTACGATTTAGACATCTTTAAGAAATGAACTGTATTATGTTTTATGTTAAGAAAACATTTTTTATATAAATAGTTAACTGGGCCCTTGAAAATGTATGTATGTATGCAGTTATATATATACATATCTCTTCAAAACAAGCACAAAAATGCTTTACTTTTATAAAAAATGATATTAACAGAAAATTCCCTTCATGAGATTTTTCTGGGGCGCAATGCACTTTTAAAAATCTTTCATACATTAAATAATTTTGCAACCTTGGTATCTTAAGAGGATATTAAACTTACCGTCCTAAAAACTGGACTTCACCCCGGTGATGATGAGGAATAGATTTGTATTTCCCCAAGTCCCCCTCTGGTCTTGTTACATTATATCCAGCATAGTGCACTCTATGATACAATATATGGAAATGAAAATATAAAGAAATAAAATCTGACATAAAAATTGATTCCATAAGTTCAATTTAAAATACAAAAGAATGCTCTAATGGATGTGCTGTCAATAATTTCAAAAGGCATTTTTTTTTAATGAAAAAAAGAAGAAACACAAAATAAGACTTAGGAATCTCAAAAATTTTCCAACCCAAAGAATCTTTTCTTGAATTAGCAAAGTACAATTTACCTAAAAGAAAAAAAATGTATAGAAATTCTGTTACTAAGCAAGTTGATCTCAACATACCTGTTCCAAAGGTCATCATCTTCTCCTCCCCATCCCCAGAAGGCATTAGGAAAACCATTGATCTTTCTGAATTGTTCCACTGTCAGTCCACTTACACCACCGAAAAACTCTTTATATGGAAGACTAAAAAGAAAGCAGAATATAGCATCCTAAAATGAAATCAAAACTGTTTGCCATATGAAATCAAGTTTCGAGGCTTTTATGTGCTTTGCAAAATACACCTCTATTTTCCAAATACATAATTCTGTTGATTAAATCGTATTCTGGGAAATATAAAGTACACCAAGAAATAAAACATTTTTATATTCTGGTTAAACAAGCACACCTAAAGGTGTTTATGTAAAACACAAAGTAAAACACCTACAGTAATTGAAATTTAATATTTAGTATTGTGACTAAACCTAGTGTTCAGAAATTGTATATTTTCACTCCAAACTTAAGTATATCAATAGCTGTCAATACAACGTTAGATGTTGCTAAACTAATAAAATTTTCTAGATTAATTGAACTTAATTATAAATGCATTATGTATTATATAGGTCAGGATATATATATATATAAATTATAAAGACAAGTCTAGCATTTAATTTTGAAATGATAAGCGCCTATTCCTATCATGATCATATCTGTTTCGATTATACTCCCAAAATACTCACAGATATTTACAAATGTTTACTTTTAACGCAATGTTTAGAAAAATGACTATTTTATGGGAATCACATCTCTCAAGGGGAAAACTAGGTAGGCAGTTAGAGGGAGGCATTGGGTCTCTGCATTCCTGCACGCCCCGCAGGATGTGACCGCCTGAAACAAATGGGTGAAAAATACCCAACTAGATCAGACCAGTCACTCGCACCTGAGCAGTAACCCTTGTCAATCACAGGTGCCAATCAAGTGGTCCCACGCCCTTAGGGGAACAGCCCATTCTAGAGAAGGGATAAAAACCCCAAGTCCTGGGAAGTCCGCCCTTTTCCCCTTTTTTTTGGATGCCGGCTTCTTCCCTTTTTGAGCCTTTGCGCATGTGGCCTGCTCCAAACTCTTTGGAATGTAATTTCTCTTCTAATAATGGGCCCTTGAGCCATTCTCTACTGCTCAGGCCTACTTCCACTTCTTTGAAATGTATTATCTCTTCAAATAAACTACTTTTTCAGTACTTTACTCTGGCATCTCGTTCAATTCTTTGCTCGAGTTGCCAAGGACCTGGACTTTGTGCGGAGAAGGGCCCACTTTCTGACAACAAAATGATTATCAAAATAAATCTAGTTAACATTCATCACCATACAGTTACAAAATTCTTGTGTGTGTGTGTGTGTGTGTGTGTGAGAGAGAGAGAGAGAGAGAGAGAGAGAGAGAGAGAGAGAGAGAGAGAGAGACATGAGGGCTTTTAAGATCTACTCTCTTAATAACCTTCAAATACACAATACAGTACTGTTAACTATAGTAACCATGCTGTACTTTACATCAGGAGGACTTATTTCTCCTATAACGGGAGGTTTGTACCTTTGAGCACCTTCACCCATTCTGCCCATCCTGGGCTCCCCCCACCTCTAGTAACCACTCACCTATTCTCTGTATCTATGAGTTCAGTTTGTTTGTTTTTTAGATTCCACATGTAAGTAAAATCATATGGTATTTGTCTTTCTCAAAGAAATGACTATATTTTCAAATTTGGATTTCATTTTCATTACCTTTCCTTAACTCATACTCCAAGGAATTTGTCAAACTCAGCTATTCACTTAGATACAGACTGGTTTTCTCACGTTGAGGTAGCACCCCTAGACCTGCAAGCCTGAATGAAGTCCTACGGCCCCAAATGTGCTACTGGGGAGTAGCATGCCAGAGCCCCTAAGGGGGCCAGGCCAACGTGCAGGGCCAGCAGAAGAAACACGACCATACATAACATCTGAGAATCGCGCTGAAGGAAATCTGGCCTAGACCATGTAACACAGCTGCCTCTGAGAAAGGGAGGGAGATTTCACTTTTTTTGTTGAAGGGACTCTCACCTCGTTCCCTGTGGGGAAAACGTGCTGTTAGCCAGCTGGGATCTTGTGTGGCCACGGAAGATGGGAGAGGCCACTCCTGCATGAACTCTAGGGTTGCAGGAGAAAGCAATCCTGGCCCCAACCTAGACCAAAAGCGCCCCAGGACAGTAACAGCAACACAGACACCAAAGACAACCACAGGGTCCCAAGAGACCCCATGAGGCTTGAATTTTGGAGGTTAGGATTCTAGTAGTAACACCAGCTAGGGTTCACCAGGGCCAATAAATATTCACGGTGCTGCCCTGTTTCTCACACCAGTTGGATTATTCTTGCCCAGGCTAGTGGTTTGGGAGAAACCTGAGATGAGTAAATAGATGCGTGTGTGTGTGTGTGTGTGTGTGTGTGTGTGTGTACTGACATGTATAAACTAGCAAGCACATTAATACCACTTATTGTTTTGCTTAAGTAGAAACAATCAATTGCATTATCCCCCAAATAAAAAAGATTATGTAAAATAAAGATATGAATAGATGAAGAATAGAAAACGTAAGCTTGACAAGCAAAAATTGAGCAGTGTTTATCTTACAAAAGGGAGGGAAACACTAACCTGGGGACCTGGGCTTTCTGGTCAGCAGCCACCAGAGTGAAAGTGAGCACCCTTGGGCAGAGATGCTTCATCAGGCTTTGTCCCAAGGCTGAAGTCTGCACTGCCCTGCTGCTGCCTAACCCCCGTCATTCTCCCTAAGCTACCACTGGAATTTCTATTAAACTTCCAAGATCCCCCACTAACCCTGGGATCAGTCTAGGTAGATATGAATATTTTATTCATTAGAAATTAATATTTCCAAGTAAAACAATTAATTTAGAGTTTTTAGTTCATATTAGCTTTATGATAGTCTTTAGTGAAAATCAATTACCCTGAATCTAATTTGAGTCTAGCAGGCTACTCAAAATTGAGTTTCCAGAAGTGCTAAGAACCAGATCCTGAACCTGGATGACCGTTCCCAAGGTAACACCAGGCGTGGTATTCAGATACTGTGGCATTAAGAAAAAGGTTTTCCAATGATGACAATGACCAGTAAAACACTAAAAGTAAAAACGCCATTCTTTTCCCGTTTTAGTGCTGATTCACCTGGTCAGACCACTGCCTGTCAGCAGGGCGGCAGGCAACGTCTCTTCTGCTCCAGGCTATTGTCTCTTCTCTCCACTTCCATTAGCCAGTGAAAACTATGATCACTTTCCCAGATCAGACTTGCACGCTTTAATGTCCATTTAAGTTACTGTCACAGAGTCGATGACTGTTTACATTTGAAGGTATCTCCAGTCAGAGAATGAAAAAATTTGTTTCTTCTTATTAAAGGCAAGTCAAGGATCCATAGCTTAGAAAGAAGATACACTGCAGAAGAGAGGGCCTGCACTGCACTAAAACATCGCTAGCGGAGGGGAAGCAGAAGGGGGACAACAGGTGCGATGTACCTACGGGGCAGGCCCAGCACAGGTGAGCGCACAGCAGCCCTATGGAAGGGCTCTCTTACTCCAATGAACAAGGAAACCAAAGTTCAGAGATACAAGTAACTAAACAACTCCTGTAACTGTTAAGTGTGAAAACCAGAAGTTAAATCCAAATTTGCTTGATGTAGAAATCAGCCTCTCTTTTCCACCACCCCAAGCTCAAACTTCTGCATGAGGAAGTCCCTAGATGGATGACAAGCGACTCCACACCCTGGCTCCCTATGAGGACAGGCTGGAGCGAAAGATACTCCTTAGGCTGTGGGACATTCTCAGATCCAGGCACATCATGCTGCTACATTTCAGTGATATGATTCTATGAGTATATTGTACAATATCTGTAAGACTGCACACCACTTACATATACATGTATTTATCCAGCTTGGCTGCAAAATGGCGTGGCATTTCTCCACATCCATAGTAGTTCCGGTCGTTTTCAGGAAGATGATCCACATCATGGAAGATGATGCAGTCCCAGACACTATCTTTCATGGCCTCTTTGAAGCCCACATTGAAGAGCATGGCCCGGTTAAAAGGTTGGGTGCCGGTCTTCACAGGGAGAAAAACAGAAACAGACTCAGGCTTTGTCACCTGACTTTTTTCTATACTTTTCTAACTTGTTAAGTTATGGTCAAATAACAAGTACATCTGAACCAAACAGAAAAAATAATAAACACACATCAAGATTTTCAAATACATCATTTAAATATACTTGCATTGTTTTATACTTCCGTAATATACAAGAAAACAACTTTACTGTCTAGTCCATTGGGTGATCATCACATTTATATAATGACATCATTCATCTTTCTGTTTTACTTCAAATACATCAAGATATAGGTTATTTATGACCGGAAAAAAATTAAGTCATTCAAAATAATATGGGTCGTATTTTTTTTAGTGAAGTTTTCCATGTGCTGTCAAGACCAAGAAAAGCAGAAAACTGAAAATGACTCAACAAACGGTAACCTTTCTCTTATATAACAAGGCCAGGGAGGGCTAATTCTGTACTACTAATGCTTATAATAAAGACAAAGACAGTTTTAGGGACAAAAACAATTGGAACATATTACATAAAACCCAACTTCCTTTATTATAACCATTTTCCTTTATTAGTAGAGAAAAATATATTAAAATGCCAAGCAACAAACCGTTCCTATTTTGAGTATTATTGCTTACGATAAATGCCAAGAGTATTTTAAGGGACAAAAAAATGGGAACTTGTTACAGAGAACCCAACTTCCTATATTATAACCATTTACCTGTCTTTACAAAGGAAATTATATTAAGGCGCATTAGCAATAAAAACTTTCATTCTGTATCCCAAGAATATTAAACAGCAATTACCTATGCCTTAGCAATATTTCTCATTTCCAAAATATTTAAAAGGATTGTGACGGGAATGAATGAAATACAATGCAGACATCACCAGAGTGCTGCCTCAAGAGTGCTAAGTGAAATGAGTCAGACGGAGGAAGAGAAGTACCATATGATCTCATTTACATGTGGGATCTAAAGAACAGAATAAATGAGCAAGTAAACAGAAATAGTCTCAGAGACATAGAGGAAAAACTGATGGTTGCTAGATGGGAGGGCAGTGGGGATGAGGGAGAAGGCAAGGGGATTAGAAAGCACAAATTGGTAACTACAATATTGCCACGGCAAAGATAGTTTGAGGAATATAATAAATAATGTTGTAAAGATTTTATAGGGTGTCAGATGGTCACATGTCTTATTAGGGGAACCGCTTTATGGGGTGTAGATGCCTGACCACTGTGCTGTACACCTGAAGTTGAAGCTGAATAATACTGTATGTCAACTATAATTTAATATATATAGTCACAGGATATGGAGTATAGCATAGGGAATAGAGTCAATGGAATTGCAATAGATACATATGATGTCAGAGGGGCAATGGATTTGGGGACAGGGATTATCACTTTGTGAGGGGTGAAATGTCTAACTATTACATTGTTTTATATACCTGAAACTAATAAATAAAAAAATAAATACTCCCCCCCAAAAAAAGAGTTAAAAGTTACTAATTTTCTGGGTCCTGCACTAACTTGAGGTAACAGAAATCACTTTACTTCTTACAGCTTCTTTCTTCACCAATAAAATCGAGGGAATATAAAAGAAAGGGAGTTAAATTACAACGTTATTACTGGTACATCAACATCAGCTTGAACTACTTTCCTTCAAGGTTTAAAAAATTGTTTTTTATTAAATGTGGACAATAATACTTAATGGCTTACAATAAAAACAAGAAGTTCTATGCCTAACCCGTCTTCATCCTCCAAAAGCAATAAATTCCAGCTCCTTGCAGTTTATTCTGGGACTTCTCTCCATATTTCAAGATAATGAGAGCTCTGATAGTTCCTTGCTTCATTAACTTTAGACATTGTCTACTGACTTCTTATCGTGGTGGTTGAGGATTGACACCACCACACTCACTGCCCCTCCATCTAGTCTCCCAATATAATTATATCATAATCTTTGGTTAAATCAATAGTGTTTACGTTATTAGGACTGTGGAAATATTTCTTGAGTGCTGAGTGAATTATGATTCTGCTTTCTTTCTCAAACTGAGATTAATAACTGTCTTCTGTTTTCTATATAACTATTATTACTTTATACAAAAGCTTCCATAAATATGTCTTGTATCTGTTTGATGTAATCAGTCACACACAGCAAGTCATTTATCAAATCTTCCTCCATCCCCCAAACCCAACTCCAACTCCCACTGCCCTCAGTTCGTGTTCCAGTCTGCACTGGTCTGACCGTGGACAACTATCATCCTAGGACTTGTCCTTCATTTTCTAGATATTCCTTTCTCAGTTTGATGAGGCACATTCTTTAGCAGCTTCCTAAATAAGCATCCATGAAAAAACAAACATATACTTTTTAGTTAATGAATGATTGAAAATGCCATCAGTCTATCCTCAAACTTGATTGATATTTTTGGCTTGGTAAAAAGTTCTAGTAATTGAAAACTACTTTTCCCTAGAATTTCTTTTTTAAGTTTTTTTTTTTAACTTTATTGGGGAACAGTGTGTTTTTCCCAAGACCCATTAGCTCCAAGTCAAGTTGTTGCCCTTCAGTCTTAGTTGTGATGCACAGCTCAGCTCCAAGGCCATTAGCCATTGTCAATCTAGTTGTAGGAGAAGGGGGTGCAGCCCACCATCCCATGTGGGAGTGAACCAGCAACCTTGTCGTTAAGAGCATGCGTTCTAGGGCCAGCCGAGTGGTGCATTGGTTAAGAGCTGGCTTGGGTTGTCAGCTCTGAGCAGCAGGGCTCCTGTTCAAATCCCACATGAAGGCCAGTGACCCTGTGCCCTCTACAGCTAAGATGGTGAACAACAGCTCTACCTGGAGCTGGGCTGCCATGAGTTGTCGGCGACGGTGTAGGCTGCAGCCCTTGCTGCAGTGGGCTGCCAGAAGTTATCGTGAGTGGCCAGCAGCCGGCGTGAGCTGCCATGAGCCGCCGTTCAGAGGCTGGCGACTGATCTTGTCTCAGCTGGGGAAGGGCGCAATGATCACAGTACCAACCTGGGCCAGTGAAGCGATGTCCTCCACAACTAGACTGAAGAACAAAAGGACAGCAACTTGTCTGTTCCCCTTCCCCCAATGCTATTCCCCTCCCTCAATTCCCCAGTAAAATCTTTTTTTTAGAAAAAAAAGAGCATGCATTCTAACCAACTAAGCCATCCGGCTGCCCATCGGCAGCTCAGCTCAGCTCAAGTCATTGTTTTCAATCTAGTTGCAAAAGGCACAGCTCACTGGCCCAAGTGGGAATCAAACTGGCAACCCTGTTGCTCAGAGCTTGTGCTCTAACCAACTGAGCCACCCGGCTGCCCCTCGCCTAGAACTTTAAAGGCATGGATCCACAATCTTCTAGCTACTGGCATTGCTGAGAAGGCTCACACACTTATGATACATAATCACTGGTAAATTGTCCTACAGGACCTTTTTGATATCTACCCTTTTTAATCTGTATTCTAAAACTTCAAAATAACATGCTGCATAATGGACCCATAATTTATTCACGTGTACCTTTGGGCCCCTTTCATCTGAAGACTCATGTCTTTGCTTCTGGAAATTTTTCTTATATTAATTTCTTGGGCCGCAGTCCCCCATTCCACCCCAATTATTTTGTGCTATATTTTTCCAGAATCCCGATTAGTGAGTGTCTTAGTTATCTATTGATGTGTAACAAATCAGAGCAAAACCTAGTGGCTGAAAATACAGTAGCCATTTATTATGCTCACAGCATCTGTAGATAGGGAATTCTGACAGCACAATATATACTCATATGCCTTATCTCTGCTCCATGGTGTCTGGGCCTCAGCTGGAAAACCCGCTTCCGTGTGGCTCACTCATAGGGCCAGCAAGACAATGCTGGCAAGTCGGCTCCTGTCCACAGGACTGCTTGAGTGTCCTCATGACACAGCAACTGGCTTCCCTGAGAGTGAGTGATCCAAGAGACCAAGACAGAGCAGCAATTTTTATGACCTAGCCTCAAAAGTCACATGCTGTCACTGCGGTTTGGTTGCCCACACAAGTCAGTCCTTATTCATTGCAGGAGGGACCACACAAGGGCCTGGTTCCCAGGATACAAGGATCCGTGGCGCCACCTTAGGGACTGATTACCCTGTGATGTATTGGTACTCTTAGACTGATTTTATTTCCTTATGTTTCGTTTCTGTTTCAGGAGTTATTTTCTTAAGTTTATCTTCCGGCCATTCTGTTGAAAGTTTTGTTTCAGTTATCACGTTTTTATTTTCAATAACTTTCTTGTTTTGATTATTCTTTCTTTACAGGATCTTGTTTTTGTTTCATGGATTCATTATCTTTTTTTTCATTCTCTGTGGATGTTGATTATGAGTTTCTGTTGTTCAGTTCTTTTAAGATTGCCTCTAGTCTCTCCAATGTCTCTATGTTCTACATACCCTTTTGTTCAATTGGTCCTGTCTCCTCTTGTGGAGGCTTTCTTCAAAATCTGAGAACCCTCGGCTGCCCATCCATGTTTGAGCATAAGGCACTGAGAAAGCTGAGGGAAACCACCACGTACATATGTACGTGAGGATGATGGTATCACTCGCCTCAAACACACACCACACACATACACACATCCATGTGTTAAGAGCAAATCCCTAAACAACACTAACATCGCAAAACCCCATTCCTCTATTCCTCTATCCTGCATGTCCATAGCTCAGAAAACGGAACATCCATGTGCAAGACAAAAACCCTGACATCACTATTAACTGTTCTCCATCGCTCACACAGCACATCTAACTCATCAGCAAATAATATCGCTTCTGAACCCAATGTAGCCCAAACCCACCCATTGCTCACCTCCTCCCATAGCAGCCCAACTCAACATCTCCTCTGACCCAGAGAACTGCAAAAGCTTTCTAACTGCTCATGTTTCAGCACTTGTCCCCCTCAGTCTATTTTCTGAACAGTCATTTTTTAAAAAACAACAGATCATGCCATTCCTTTACTCAAAACCCTCCAGAGTCTTCCAACTTCATGTGGAATAGTCCAAATCCTCACCCTGGCCTGTTAGGTCCATCCATTATCTGCTTCTCAACCTATCTCTGATTTCCTCCCTAACATTCTCCTCCACTCATCACTCTAGCAACACTGCCCTTGTGCCCCAAACACACCACCCATCTTCTGCCTTGCCTGGAATGCACATCCTCCTAACACCAGCATGTCTTGTACATCATTCTGTACATCATTCGGGGCTGCTCCAGCCTCACCTCCTCCGAGAAGCCTTCCCTGAATGCTCTGTATAAAAGAGCACCTCTCCTTGCCCTTACCATTCTCTTTGCCCTGACTCTGCCCTGAGTACCACCTGACACATCACACAATTACTGATTGCCTAGTCTTTCCTCATGAGAACAGGAGAGGCCTAACCTGGTTTGTCACTGCTGTATCCCCTTTTGCTGAATGAATGAAAGTGGGTTTCGTGGAGATGATAAAGTGGTAAGTTGGCCTTTTGCTATGCAGACTTCCAAATATTAGACAGGGCCTCTTTTTTCCTGGGGATAATCTATTTCTCTAATGAATACATCATTCCTGCCCTTCCTCAGTTGGAGGGGCTGGGGAGATTAAAAAAGTCAGACAGGGAAAAGGCCTGTGGGTCCCTAGGGTCAGCATGCAGACTTACTGAGCCCCTGTGGTTTGAGCCCCACAGGACAGTTCTGTCAGCACAGTCAGGACCTTCTCTAGTGTGGTCTCTCCTGAGGATAACTTTTCATTTTCCACAAGATATAACAGAGTAATCAGCTGGCAACACAGGCAAATGAGGAACTGGGGATTCCATTGTCTTGGAATCAAATTTTCAAACAATTCCCTTACTTTTAGCCCAGTGCTTCAGTCCATCTTCTGTGACACTTTTCAAGTGCTGAGATGTGAAGGCATCTGTCCAGCAAATTAATTCAATCGTTTTTTTAGTTTGTTTTTTTTTTTAGCTGAGCCATCCTGCCACCTGTTGGCAGCTCAGCGGCTGCTCAGCTCGGGCCAGGACTCGAACTGCTATTGCTCAGAGCTCAAACTCTTGAGCGAGCTCTTAACCAACTGAGCCACTCGGCCGGCCCAATTCAATCTTGCCACAATCAAGCACATTGTTGTAAACATCCTCTGCTCTGCTAAGGGAGCTGCCAGTGAGCCACCCGCTGCCTGACATCCAGAAATGTGTTGAAATCTCTCAACTACTTCCATCTCTTTGTCCTTGTGGTTTAATAACCTTTTAAAAGATTTTTCTTTCATTCTAATTTTAGGAGTATAGAAAGGACAAGAGGTAAACATGCGTACAATCTTCCATATTTCACTAGGAGTTCTGAGCTGCTCTTCAATTGCTTAGCACTCCTGGGCACCAGTCCAACAAAAAAATTGCTCTTCTATTTCATATGTGGTAAAGATCTTACTGCTCACAACTATACACTATCAAATACACTGGCCTGAATTAATATTGATCCAGGCTGAAATTCTAACTTAAGAGGTTTATAAAATATGGATTTCAGTTGCTGTGCAAAGATTTCTTCATCACATACATAAAATAATTTAATGATGCTGGACTCTCAGGAGAATAAGCCTTTAAAAGCACAGAGGCAGATAGCTCATCTCTCAATACATTATGGAGACTGAAGTTAAAAAAAGGTAACTAGCAGTTGGTAAAACTCACTTAGAAGTTCACAACTATGGCTACAAAATAGCTGAAATTTTTTACTTCTTATCAAGTCAAAAAAAGTCAATTTTCATAATATAAGTTGTTACATTTAAAAGTACATATGCACTATGTACTATATGCATCAAAATATGCACAGGGAACAAACCTTAAAAAAGGGGATTTAGATACAGAGAAGTATAAATTATATTAAAAACAAATACTGCCAAGGGAATAAGTAGAGGCAGCAAGGAAAGAGTAACAAGTTAAAAAAAAAAAAAAGTGAAGGTGTATCTAGAATAAACCACAAAGGAGCTGGAAAAACACTAAATATTACAATCTTAGGAATAACATTTGAATATTTTCTATCAGAAAAAAAGGAGCGTCTAATAATATAAGCTAGGTGACTTTCTGTCTACTGCTAAATAAGGCAATACATCTTTAGTCAGGTTAAGTGTGAGTAATAAAAAGGAAAGATCAGGATAAAATGAGTTCCTCAATGTCAAAACCAGAAGTAACCAAATTATAATGTATTTGAAACACAAACAAAATATATGATTTTAGAAGTGCTATGTAGAAATCAGTGATACAGCTCAGCAAGTGCCCTAATATTTGGGAGGTGGGGTAGGAAAGAAAGAAATCAAGGATGACATTGTAAGTGTAAAAATAAGTAATGGCAGAAGTGGAAAAAAGTAGGAATATGAAAAAATATCTCTAAAGTGTTCAAATAAGACTGAAAGAAATTGTGTCTGTGACACAATTTTGAGACAAGAAAAATATTTAGAAAGAAAAATTAGCTGACAATATGAAGAATAACGAGAAAAAAATCACTTTAATAAGTACGATATAAGGTGATTACAAATGACAGGAGTATATCAACTGATAAATGGATTAACAAAATGTGTATACCACTAACAGCTCAATCCAAAACTCTATTTTAATCCAAAAATCAATATAAAACCAAGGATTTGAGTAGCCTGATTAACCTTAGCTAAATATTGTTGATCAAACCATATCTAAGAGTTTATTACATTCTACTAGACTTAGTTACCATTTTGAAAAAATTCTCACCTGTTCAATGACATAAAAGGCAAATTCCAGGCGCTGTTTTTGGAGCATTGGAATCAGATGCAAGAAAAAAATCGGAAGATGTTCATGGCGATTACGGAAAGGAATGAGAACTGCCACCTTTAAGACAAAATAGTCACATATGTAAAAAATACAGCAGCAAGCCTTAAAGGTAAAATGACAACTAATCCTTAAAAATTTCGGATGGTTTTAAAGTCACACTCTTATGAATTTTCTTCATTAGAGAGCTAACAGTGAGCAAAAACAGACACGGCCCTTGCCTTCATGCCACTTATGGTCTTGAGAACCTGGGAGGTATAAATGGGCTCTGAGGGCTGTTCCAAGGATTGTGGTCTTTATCCTATGAACACCTTTAGAAATTGCGGAAAGATTAAAAAGAATGATAAAATCAGATTTGGTGATGGTAGAGAGTACTATGGAGAGGAGACTGGAGAAAGCCAAACATGGACTCAGGGAGCTGGTTAGGAAATTAATCCAATAGTTGAGACAAGAGGTAATGGTAGCTTGAAGTGAGGTGTGGGTGGAGGAGAAGAAAGGCATGGAGTTTTGAAACATCTAAGAGGTAAACAGACAGGATTTGTTTACCGATGGGATGTGAGGAGTGAGGGACAGGGATGTCTCAAGACGATCTTCTAGATTTTAAAGTAGATCACAAATAATAACTTAATGGTTTTTAAACTGAATTTAAAAAAGAGTTCACTTGAATATCTGTTATCCTACACATGACTTATCCAGTCTAGAGATATTTTTAAGAAATATAACATGTGTCATGGAATACAAATGAAGTTTTATAATTATATTAATATATTTTCATTTAACAAAATGCATGATTAAATTTTTGCTACATTTTACGTTTATTTCAGTGGTAGGATCATATTCAATTTAGAATAAAATTGACAATAAAAATTGTGTTAATGTGTTAAGCCTAACAAAAAAGATGATATAAGCAGCACAGAAAACACAGAAATTTGTCCTTTATAAATCAAGGAAATGTGTTCTTATATAACCCAAAAACTAAGAGGAAAAACCATTTATATGGAAATTAGAATGGTTTTCAGTAGATTAATCTTCCTTCTAATAAGGACAAAAAACATTTATTGGAGCTATCAAAATCAAGACTAAAAACACCATCTATATAAAATATGTTAATATGGGAATAACTGAATAATTATCAGTCATCACTTACTCAAATCCTCTATTTTCTACATCCAAACTTTGTCACACAAGCCAAGTCACCCTACACTTCAGCTTGCCTTTGAAAAAGCTAAAATATTTTCTAAACATTACTTTTCTTAGCAATTTCTGAGCTAAGCTGGCTTTTTTATAATTGTGAATGTTCTAATAAAAATTGAAATTAAAATAAGTAATTTCTAATTCTACATACATTCTAAAATCATTAAATTTTTCAAAGAACATAACAGTCAAACTATACCTAATCAAAATGTCTGTCTTACTCTATATTCTCGATTTTTAAATACAATCTAAATTGGTTATAACAGAAAAATATATAAGAACACTAAACGTGGAATTGATTAAAATTTCACATATACTAAATCAATTTTACTAATGAATGAATAAATGTAAATAACTGGGAGTGCATAGGCTTAGGACGTAATCCTACTTGTAAAATCAGGATATGGCATGAGATACAATCAAGAGAAAATAGTAACATTTACCTGTGTATTTTATATTACCAGGATCCTAAGTGAGAGAAATTTTTAAATTCTTAAAATAGTTTTACTTAAAAAGCGAACAAAGTATGATTCAGTAAAATTGAAGATGTCTTAAACTGGACACCCCAGCACTAATTTTCCCTTAATGCTGATGGGATAGCAGAAAAGGAGACAATCTGCTATGAGGCTACCATTTTCATGTTCTATATTTGGTAAGTGGTAGGAACTAAAGGGGTCCTGGTACCCCTGCCAGCCCCACTTTGGATCCCATTCCCTTTTGGTTTGCCTCATATGAGGCTTATGAATCTGAGGCCACAAAGCTGTGAGAGCAGCCCCCATCTGAGGGTCCCTTCCACACCCACACACGATGGCTGCTGCTGGTGCTGGGCACTCCCTTCTGACTGGGAGCTTGCTGATGGGCTTCAATACCAATTATTGGCATAGTCAAGGAATTCCCAAATCAATACAACTCCCAAAGCAGTTCAGGGACCCCAGGGTTTCCTCTTCGGATAGGAAACTGCTATGAAAAGTGAAAGGAGAGAAAGCAATTAGATGGTGAGTACAGACAGATCGCTATCACTGACCTTGTCTGCCGTGTATCAGGGTGATAGCTCCTATTGAAATGAGGCTTGACCACTGCACTGTACACATGAAGCTGAATAACATTGTGTGTCAACTATAATTTAGTACTTATATAGTCACAGGATGTGGAGTACAGCATAGGGAATAGAGTCAATGGAATTGTAAGAGCTATATACAATGTCAGAGGGGCAACAGATTGGGGGACGGGGCTATCACTTTGTGAGGGGTGAAATGTATAACTGTTACATTGTTTTGTACACCTGAAACTAACAAGAAAGAAAGAAAGAAAGAAGGAAGGAAAGAAGGAAGGAAGGAAGGAAGGAAGGAAGGAAGGAAGGAAGGAAGGAAGGAAGGAAAGGAAAGGAAATGAAGAGGAAGAAAGGGAGGAAGGGAGGAAGGGAGGGAAGAAAAAAAGAAATGAGGGTGGAACTTGACTTTCCTGGTTTTGAACTGGCCACAAGTTGAATGCCTCAGATGTAATGTAAATGGGCTATAAAGCAATTAAGGTGAATTATAGATATTTAAGGGAAGAAGCTATTAAGTAGCTGCAGGGCCCATATTACTTAAATACAATTAGGATAAGTGATGAGTTAAACATATAAAAATAAAAAAATGCAAAGTCATAGCCCCTAATCCAGTAATTTCTTTAATGAAGCATTTAAAATATCAAAGAGTTGTTTGTCTTTTAAATCTCATAAGGAAACTGAGAATGTCATAAGAGAAAAAAATTGCCACTGTCTTGGCAAATTCAAATCAGTGAAACTGTTGTCTTAATAGCAAATAAATGTCCACATTTTAATAAGACAGTTATTAAAAGATTTTGAATGATATGCCTAAAGCAAAGTTTTTATTAAAATAAAGCTAAATAGTATCTTAAAATTTCATTTGATATGTCCCTTGTGCCTGTGGAATGACATTCTCAGTAGTTTACAATCTGTTGTCTAGAAAAAGAAGATCTCAGTGTTCTATGAGGATTTATTTCTGGGTTTAAGAGCTTTTGTACCAGGACATTCTTTCTTATATGTGCCCTAATTTTCTGTTTGAGCCACTCTCCTGCTGATGCATCTCCAGTGGCAATAAAGCACATCTGGTCATTATCTTCCAAAAAACAACACTTCTTCATGAATCTCTCCTCACCACCTCTTGTTCAAGCAAAATTATCCCATGCAGTTTGCTACCCCTTTAAAACCACTAACCTCACTGAGTTTATGCACCTATTTTTCTATCTTGCTTATTTTCTCCTACACTCACCATGAGGAGATTAGCAAGGAGAATGTTTACTCCACAAATTTCCTACACCAAGTTTTTGTCCTACTTTTGAACTTCGAACACACCACCAGATACAGTATCCCTAAATGACATGGCTTTAGGTTTGCCTACTTTAAGGGTGCACTAGCCACTAAGACAAAACGAAGTCGAAGCTACCAAGCTCTCATTCTCCTGCAGTGTTTTCAGGTCCACCTTCCTCTTCCTCTTCATTTCTAGTGCCTTCAGGAACTTCTCAAACAAGAGGCTCTTGATTAAAAACATGCAGTTTCTTCCCACTGATAGAATCAGAATACCTGAGGACTGGGTTCAAGAACCTTCATTTTTACCAAACACCTCAGGTAGTCCTGAGACAGGTCTACAAGACCCATTTTTGAGGAACCCTGGGCTAGAAATGGAACTCCAGGCATCTGAGCAGATAATAGCATCAAGCAGCTGCCTGGTTCTCTAAGCTGCTACGTTTTAGACCAAAGTTGTTTAGGCCTCCACCTGAACCCTGAATGGAATGGCAATATCACAGGTAAATACCTCCGTCATCTATTTCTTGTAGAAATAAGCTTGCCGTTACAAGGCATCCAATTTTTGCTGAATCTTCCACTCCAAAATGCAGTGTTCAGAAATAGCTAGGCATTGCTGAAATCATTAGTTTTAGATCTCAGGTTCAATGAATTGGCCATCAACAAACTTAACTGATTTTTTTAAGTAAAAGAACCTCAAATATTAACACTCACACTGGTAGCAGATGTTTAATATAAATCTATTTATTTCTTCTTTCCCTCTCTCTCCACTCTGTTCCAAGGTTAGAATGGACATTATTAGAATGTAAACGGGTAGGGGAGGTAGAGGATTATTTAATTAATTAAATATGGCAAGAACAGGTCACCTCTGAATGACCTCCAAATTTCCTCCCATACCTTTAGCTGTGTAGCTCAGAACTAGAAACTGTATTCTGAGAAGAGTTTACACAAAGCTAAAATAAGAGCAATATTACCATCTAGTTCCTAAATAAAATAAGCTCATTTTTACATCCCTGAATTAGCTTGCTCCTAGGAACTCCACTTTTAATATACTATTACCTACTGATTCACATGGAGTTTATAGTCTACTAAAATCTCTAAGTAGGAACTAAGTATGTGTGATATACTTTCTCCCGGAAAAGAAGAAGAAAACAAACTATAAAATTTTAAATCCAACATCTGATACAGACCACTGGAGAAAGGATAAGAATATTTAATTTTTCTAATCCCAAATTATTCTACTACTATGTCACACAGTGCACACCTGAGGGTAGGCTGTACTTCACAGGAACTTGTGTCTGAGGTCCAACCTCCATGCTGCCCCACAGCCTTTATCACTGAATATGCTTTTTCTTCCATGAGCATCCAACGTGCATACTCATCACCCAAGTAAGAAAAAGAATTTATTTGTCCAGAACAATTTTAAAAAGTAGAATTATGGAAATTAGGCCATACAAATGTGAGAAAAATCAATCATCATATATGAAAAGATTCATTTACTAACTGAATCTGATTGGGAAAACACCATAAGACAATTATGAAATGGAAATTTTTGCCAAAATTTGTACTGGAATTCATTTAAGCAGCCCTACAACTTGTTTGAGGCAAAAAAAAATAAATTAATTAAATAATTTGTAACAAGGCATTTATTTGTCTCACAAACTCAATTCAACAAAACTGCGTTTACTGCTTACCTCATACAAGACAATATGTTCTGTGTTAGTGGTGCAGATATAAATAATACACATCCCCAAATACAGAGAGTTCAAGGCCAATGAAGTCAGAGAGCTTTATCCTAAGTTTAACAGCACATAATTCTTCCCAGCAGTGATTTTTTTTTTTTGGTACCAAAAGACAAATGTTTTAGCAATATACTAAGATTTTAAGAGAAATTGAAAACCAGTCTCAAATTAAGGCTATGTCACAATCCTTTAGGTCCCAGCAGTTCTCAACCTGTGGGTCGCAACCCCTTTGGGGGTTGAATGACCCTTTCACAGGGATCGCCTAAGACCATCGGAAAACAAAAAGATATTCACATGACGATTCATAACAGTAGCAAAATTACAGTTATAGAGTAGCAACGAAAATAATTTTATGGTTGGGGGTCACCACAACATGAGGAACTGTATTAAGGGGGTCGCGGCATTAGGAAGGTTGAGAACTGCTGCTTTAGGACATAACATTTGTTTTAATCACATGTAGTTTTCACCTGAATTATGTCAATGCAATTTCCTACTCAACCATAATTACATGACTATGCACTTATTAACCAATTTCATAGTATTGACAGTACGGCTAGTCTGAAGTATGGTTTTCAATTTCTTTTTTAAGCAGCAGAGGCAGGTCCATTCCCTTATAGTTTTTCAAACAAAACATTAAGTAGAATTCTGGCATAGCAAAAAGATAAAATGCTTGTGCTCTTCCTTATGAAACAGAGGTGAAGAGCCCAAAGTTCTCCTTTTTGTGTCACAGTGACCTCTAAGAGGACTCTTTAGACATCTGAGGCTGAGGAACAGAGCTTGAAAACCCCAATGCTAGGCTCAACTGGAAATCAGGATAGTAACATCTTCCCCGTGAGCTCTCACCAGTTCCAGGACTTGGTGGAGCTACACGCACCGATGTCCACAATCATTAGGGACAGCTGCAGGAAGCAGAGAAATCAGAGCCTCTCTTCCAAACAGAACAGAACTTACAAAAAAATTTGTTTTCTAGGCCAATCTCAAGTGATGTATTTATTACCAGGACTTCTGAGAGACTGGCAATAACACATGTACATAGGCAGAGGGTGCCAAAAATATATATACATATTTTAAGAAAGGACAAAACTATTAAAATTGTAATACTCAATATATACTGATAACAAAAGATAAATACAAGTCACGTTTGACTTCTGCAATTACAAGAGGTGCTCAAAGTGGTTACTATCAGCGTCCAGACAATTCTGATTACAGCGAACTACTGCTTAAGCAACGCTGACCAAAGTGTCCTCTTGCATACAGTTTTTTGGCACCCCCAGTATATTTGTACCTGCATAGGTACAGTTACGGTCTTCACTATTAAATAACATTTGAACTGTGAATACCTAAACATTAAACATAACAATGTTGATGTCTTAAATTTACCATGATTTTAAGGTATTCCACTATATATTCTGAATCAAGTACACTTTTCCTCAAATGCATAGTAATAGTCACATTACTTATGAGAAAATTGACCTCACCTTCCATCTGGGTTTACAGTCTTTAGGTCTCCAGTGACCTCCTGGCTCAATATCTAAATCCTTGGAGAAGAGTTGATGAATTTCATCAAAACTGACTTCACTGACATTGACATTGAGGAATCCCCCTAGAAGGTCAAAAATAGGAAGAACCACTTTAATATTTTTTGTCTCAAAGACGAAGTAAGACCAGTCACAATCAGTAGGGTGATGGCATAACTTAGTTGCCAGCACAGTATGGTTTACTCCAATTGTCACCACATCATTGTTAGTATCACTCCCTTTCAATTTTAGTTTGGATGATAAATTACCTGTGGTAAATCAGCCAAAGAAAATCAAAGTATTTAAACTTTTTGGTTTTGAGTAATATAATGAATATTTTCATATTCTTTGTGAAATGTTTGCATTTCATTACAACTTAGCACATCATTGCAAATTAACAACTATTCAAGTATTTAAAAACTATTTTAAATTTCAACATAGTCAACATAGGGTACACAATAGCACAGTATGAGAAAGTTAAGCAGTTAGATTGACTGGAAGCTGAAGTCTAGCTTCCATTGGAGAAATTATTTAGCTTCTCTGTGCCTCAGTATCCCCATCTATAAAAGGAGATGGTAATGCCTGCCTCCCAATATGGTTGTATTCATTATATGAAATTGTGTGTGTGTGAAGGATCTGGTACAGTGTCAGTACAAAGCTACACACACTCCATAAATGTAAGTGACTATTACCGTCATCCACTTCACTGACATTTCTTAAGAGAAAAAATTCGCAAACGCAATTCTGCGAATTTATTTTAAGTACCTACCATGTATCCCCTGGATATACAAAACTGAAAAACTCTGGACTTCTAAGATATTCCTGGTATCCTAGGTACTCACTCTCCAAATTAACAAGTATATGCTATGACTAGAGATGTTTTTAGTCATAGGTTTCCTAATATATATCACTGAGACAGGAGTGAATCTTGGAAGGAAAATTATTTCCATTAACTCAAAAACACAACTAAGAACAGGGCTGAGTTCTTTCTAACTTCCTCATCTCATAAAATGGAGACCAACAAACGCTGAAGTTTCCCATTCCAAGTCTGCCGAGCCTCGGTGGCCATGATTTCACGATATAAAACATCTAGTTCTTCTCGAGGGAGCCCCTTTCCTCGCTCCTGTTATTCTATATTCTAGAAGGCTTCCACAGCTGCCTCTCTATCCTAACTAGGCAGGAACATCAGTAGTTCCACGCAGTACAGAGGCATGCTAGAAAAAAGTATTTTAAAATGCAAATGTGTATGTTTCACAGAGTAAGGGAGAAAAAATTTGTAATCTTTTGTCTGCCTGCTCTACTGACAACATTTACGGACCTTTATAACCAAATACCCAGCCTGTAGTGTGACAAGATATGCAAAATCACTAAAATCGCTAATCTTAGAAAGATCAGGTAACTAAAGCAAAGAGCAACTATGAACTTGCAGAGAAAGGGTAGGTCCAACGTAAGAATGATCAGTCAATCTAAGTACAGACTATCATGACACAGCTGACAAAAACAAAATCTAGCACTGTAACCAAACAAAATTCACACAAATAAATCTGATACATTTAATAGTATGCATGATTGCTAAATGACAGTAATTAAGTTAACTAATAAGCAGTGCATATAAGTAACTGTTGGTATTCTTTATGCACTGTTACACCAATTTTTTCCAGCTTTATTGTTTCAACAGCTGTAATCATCATTACTGTCAGCAGTTTTCTCCAGTATTCTTTGCAGTTTAATTTTTCATGCTGGCACATTAAGATGAAGTGCTTGTATCTTTCTCCTCAACGGACAGGGTCTCCTGCATCCATCACTTACTATCCCTGATGCCCCAGGCACCCGAAGTCCACTTCCCTCCTGATTGTACCACCGTCCACATTCCTCAGCGTCTCTCAGCAGCTTTCCATATGTGCTTTATTGCTCTGAAATCCTAATAACATGCCAGAGGTAATAGCCATGTCGTTTTTTTTCTGGAAGGGGGATAGGCCTTCAGGACAGGCTCTGTCACCATGGGAACACTAAAAGTGCAATCAGAAAGAGAGAGCGAAGGCAGACTACGCACCAGTTAGAGGGGGCGGGCGGGGTGGCATTAGGGAGAAGACCCCATGCACAGGAAGGGAAGGGAAACGGGCATGTCACTGAATGTGGCCAGGAAGAGGCACTGAGCGGGTGAACCAGGGTGACGTGGCTTCCAAGCTGCCCCCAGTAGAAAGAATCTCCCAAGGTGAGCCTGTGGTGGGACAAGGGAGGACGTGGGGTCCTTCTCCCATTGCACCCATCAAGGCTACTTTCACCTCATTTACTATACAGGTGTCCCCTTCAGGTTTCACTCCAGAAAGGGTTCCAGTGCTTAAAAGCCAGAAGATACAGCCTTCTTTACAGTAACTAAGAGCCATCGGCCAGGCTAGCCCATTTACTGCGCTTGCTGAGACTTATGGTCAGCTGAAGCGCAAGGACCCAGAGCCCCACAGGGAACCCCCACTCTTCACTCTGCGCCTGTGCTAACCCTGAGAACATGTGCGCTCTTTCTGCAATTCGAGATTACAAGGCCGGGAAATAAATGCATTGGCTGAAACCCATTTACCCAGCATGATAATCCATCAGGACATAAATATAAATAAGGTAATTTATTAAATCCTGACTTTCACTATTTGGAAGGTGGGACTGAGGTTAGAAAGGAAAAGGCAGGAGAAGTGGGGGCCTGAAGAGAGGAGGGGCCGCCCGGTAGCTGGAGGGTAAAGTGGAAGAATGAAGGTCACCTGTAAGCCACCCGTTAGTCCTGGCAGCCCGTCGATCTCAGCAACAAAGCCCGGGCCCCAAACTCCTTCTGTTATGTATGAGAATAATTTAGCTGCATCACTGGTTACGCAGGCCATTTCCTATAATCTCCTAATGCTGAATTTGAAAGACATGCAACAGTGCCTCCCTAAATGGACCTGGGGCCTGTTAGGTACGCATGGGGCCCAAACCACGGGCTCCTGGTACTGTAGGTTATAATGTACCACATGACATGATTTAGGATACTAGTTTTTCTATTAAAATACAATTCTTAAAGTAAATATTCAATACATATGAATTGTCTATATTTACATTGTTCTCACATTTCAAGTAAAATTTAAGGCATATACTCTCTAGGCAGAGAATTGTTTTCTCTATACATTCACAGTTTTAAATGACAACTTCATTACGTTTGGGGCCTATATCTAAAGCCTAATTCTGGAGGCTTGGGCTTTAGTCACTGTTTTATCCTCAGGGTTTCAGGTGTGCACAGCCCAAAGATCCGAGACCATGTCAGAGAAAGATCTGAATTTCCTCTAGAAATATCCCTTCGGGTGGATTCTCTCCAAAGTCAGAAAACCATTTTTACAATAAGATGGCACCTTCCTCTCCCCTCCCTCTGGGCTGCCACCTGAGCACAGCTCTGAGGCTGGCTGGTTACATGAGTCATCTTGCCACCAGTTCCCCACTACCCCTTTTGAAGCCAATGCTAGAAACTGCCCATTTCCAATGCTTTACTTAGGCTTCTCAACTTCTGAAATTTTATAACCTCCGCTTACACAAATGACTTCCTACTCAATTATCCCTGAAGTAACCAAATCCGAGTATTCTAAATAGAGAGAGGGTAGCTTTTAGTCACACAACCCCAATACCGGGTGCAATGCATAGACAGGATGAACGAACACACAAATGAACGAATGAACAGGAATGGCAACGCTGGCCATGTCCAATCCTGTCTCACCTCTCTCTCTGTTCTCTCTCTGCTTCCTTCAAACCTGCATTTCCACTCCTTGGCTCCATCAGGTGCCAAAATATGCCTTTAAGATATTTGTGCAAAATGGGTCCCACAGGTAGATGACCTAAAATGACAGCCCCCTGTACAGCCCCTGTTCTTGCCTTCTAATCTCGGCCACAGTACACAGTTCTTAACCTACACTTTCCTCCTGCTTGTTGTACTCTGAATGACTAACTGTGACCTCGGTTAAGTCTTTGCTTTCTGTTCCCAGTTTTGCCTAGTAATCCACCCAGTGAACCTTTGGTCCACCCCTGGAGGCTGTGATACCCTTCATCACATGCTTTCAAATTGTCCTTCTGGTCCCCGACGACTGATATAAGCTGACAACCTCCTTTCAAGTCAGGATCCACACCACCATTACTATATTTCCTCGAGTCTGAGACACATACATTCATGTTTTAGTGTTCTGACATAGGGGCATACCCTACAATGCGTGCATTTAATGTACTGCTTCTTTCTTGTTCCTAAAAAGCCCTTAAAAAATTAAAGATGTGTCTTGTCAAGGGCACACGGTATATCATATACTTCTCCAGCCTTTTGAAATGTGTTTTCTAGAATCATTCAATTGCCAAGAAATTTCCACATGCTTTACACCTCAATGTTTTGGTTTTTTTTGGGCCGGGCATTGAACTGCTGTTGCTCAGAGCTCACACTCTTGAGCAAGCTCTTAACCAACTGAGCCACTCGGCCGGCCCTACCTCAATGTTTTTTCTAGAATACCACCCCCTCCCCCTCTCCTCCTTTGAAGTAAACCAGTATTCCCCCTTTTAAACTGTGCTAAGTGCTCACTTTCTGTTCTGATGTCTACCAACTTGAAGCCAGATGTGAAGAAAAGTACTCTGCAGACTTAAACCTACACCTTGCAAAAAAACCACTTCCTTCCTTCCTTCATTAATTTGAGTTTGAATTTTATGACTTTGAAGTTGACAGCTTCCGGTAGCCATACCACCTTCCAGTACCCAGCCACATTCACGGACAGGTGCCCTCCCCTCGTGTACCCAGCTCTGTACCACGCCCTGAGCATCACCGTCACCTAGAACCGACTGGCAGTGTCAGCGTGGAAAGCCTGGCAGTTCTGGCTTAACGTTCTCTCTGCTATATCCCCATTTTTCCTGTCTATCTGGTCTCCTAATCAACCAGTTCACTAATTTGGGTGATGTGGCTAAGAATCGCCAGGCATGCCTGTTTAGAATGGAGGTTACTGGCCCGATTCTCAAAGCTCCTGTGTCCGTAGATGCCTAGGGATCACATCTGTAGCCACAGAGCTTGGTCTGAACACATCTCAGCTGCTTGAACTGTCCA